ATTATACGCTTATAATGCTATTGCGAATAATCACATAGGTACTACATATACAGTGAATAAACAATAATATTATTTATATACATTCTCCTTTGATGAATCTCCTTTTCTTACAGAATTCAATGTCTAGTACATTTACCGTTGTAATCCATCCAAATTCATAGATATTCGTGATAATATTTTATGGAGAACCTTATGAGTAGTATTCGAAAATAATTTTTGTATTATAATTGAGTATATAAATACACATTATTGCACTATGTTTAAATGTAAATATTTTATATTTTATTTATTTTTTTTGCTTTTATTAAATCTGTTAAAATACAGAATAATAAGAATAATTGTTGAAAATAAATAGATAAATATAAATAATATTAAAAATAAAATTGCAGATTTGACTGAGTGTAGATGCCTCCCAGTGAAGGTATTACGACATGATAAACTTAATTAGTTAGGTTAGTAGATTACGATACGAGTGTTTTTTAAATCTTTTGACAGGGTTACCTGGAATAGTGACAGATTGATACAGATATCAAGGGGTTTTTATGATGAGTTAAGGGGCTATTTAAACGTTTGTAAAGGATTTTGGATGATTCGGAGATGTATGGAATTTTGAAATAAAAGTGAAGAGTGTGGTTTGAAACATAGAATTTATCCGCAAAGTTTTAGATCGAACCTTTTGGATGCGGTTGATGTTGGAAATTTTGGCAGCGCCCCAAAATTGAATTCCATATGGCCAAATGGATTTTAGTAGGAGTTTGTGAAGCAGGAGTTTGTTGGAGAGTTTCATGTGATTCTGGTTAGAAGTGGTAGAAGGAATAGAATACGGTCATTTAGTGTCCGGGTTTTGCTAATTAAGCGTGATTGTGGTGAATCGGTTGTCTATAAAAATACTAAGATAACGTACACACTTGGCTGTGAGAAGCGGTTGATTATTAATGAAAACGGTTGAGAATGCTCCTTGGTAAAGGATGAAGGTATAATAAATGGATTCAGTTTCATTAATTTAAATCCCCATGTTTTGTACCAAGTTTCAAGGGTGTTTATATGGTCTTGTATGAAAAAAAGAGGCCAGGAGAGGATCTGGATTGATTGCTAGTATGGTATTGTCGTCGGCAAAATCACCAATTAGTGTATAAATAAAGTTTGGCTGGTCGGAAATGTAAATATTAAAAAGGAGGGGAGCAATTACTGCGTATTGGTGTATACCTGCTTTTATTTATGTTAGAGAAAAGAAGGAAGAACCTACGCGTACGGAAAGAAGCGATCTTTAAGGTAGGATTTGAGGATAAGATAATAGTGGTTAGATAGGAGAAGTTTTAGTTTGCAGAAAAGATTTGAATGTCAAACTTTGCCAAATCCTTGTGAAAAATTTATAAATACACTGGTACAGTATAGTTTTTCCTTCGGAACAATTGACATTTTGTCAACTGGGCGATTAACCTCCTAGATCAACGTTGGTTGAGTGTTGCAAAAATCAAATTCAGAGTCAGGTAATATTTCGGCTTCTTTAATTATTAGAAGTATTCGTTTGAGAAGGAGTTTTTCGAGTAATTTGTAGAGAGTTGAGAGTAGACTTATAGGTCTGTATGAAGAGTGACAGTGAGAAGGTTTTAATGTTTTAATATGAATATTATAATAAAATGTTTCCTTGTTCAACTATGAAGATGAAATTTATATATAAGTATGACGTATAAAAAGAATATCATATATTTCCTAATATCGTATATAATTTGTGTTATAGACTAAGAATTTGAGTTATTGTAATTTACATAGATTTAGTGTGTATCATATATTTTCTGGACGTTAATTGTTTAAACGATTATTTCCTTTCTCCGAAAAAAAAGGTCATTTTGTAATATCTCCAACCTATTCGACTATGTGATTTTCGATTTATTATTATTCTTGTTTGAATGACGTGAAAATAAAACTGTAAGTGGGTAAGCTTTATTTTTATCTTATTTTTTTATCGTCTTGAACGTTGTATTCTAACATTCGTTTTTCACACTACATATTATATAAATGTTCAATATCATCGTTCATAGAGACGAATCAACTATTTGTCTTTTTTAGCATGTATATTAATTTAAGTATTCTTAAAAAATGTTTTCAGTTTTTATAATAGTATATTGCATAATGTTAATATTAGTTTGGTCCCTTTGAAACGGTATATTACCACATGTGTACCACATGACCGCGCTGGCTTAATATTTTTATCTTTAATGTATAGGAATTATGGCATACAATAGTGTATGACTTTAATGTTGATAAAATTAATAAATAGTGTTAAACGGTTCAAATTTTATTGGACATTTTCTTCACGAGTTAGTTGAAATAAGAATTTACGGCAACAATGGCAACTGAACCGATATTGCGCTGTGTGCACTTTTATGACGATTTTTCTAACACTGATAAAGTACTATCAACAACTTCTGCGTAATGTGACGGCGTGCCGAGTACCGCGGTATCGGCATTTTTCCAAAAAAGTTATTAATGGGTCGTAAAAACAGCGCTCGATCGGATTACATCTTCCCGGGACTTGATGGATGTTGGGTCAATTTGAAAAATAGCAACAACTGCGTGTATGTGTTTGTATGTGTGTAGTGTAAGTACCTTTATTCCCTGTATTAACGTATTAACTAAGTAGAAGAAAATCGACTTCACTGTAATTGCATCTATATTAACTGATCTTATCATAATTATAGGATAATATTTGCACCAATATCGCTACTGTATAGACATTATGGTAAATGTCACAGAAGAATTTTTTATTTCGTTGATTTTTTATAGGGTGTCAAAAACAACACAGGATTTAAATCTGCTATAAATTAAATTTATTTATTTTAAAAAAACATAACAAATATATCATTCTCTTCAGAATAAGTTAAGGTTTAAAAGTGAAAAATAATATCGGGCGTATGACCCTCCCCACTAGCCCTGCAGGCGATTATTCTTTCCATAAAATTTACCATTACTGAATAATATATTGCCCTATCAAGTTCGTTGAGGACACGACGAATTTCTTGCTTAAGTTCCAAGATATTTCAAACTTTATTCTGGTAAATTCGTGACTTATTGTATCCCTATAACAAAATTCGCAACGAGATAGTCTGTCCGGGAATTTCTCACGCAGCTGAGGGATAGTTTCTCTTGAAGTGTAACAAGTTGCGTCGTTTTGTTATAACCATACTAGAATACCTACTGAGCTAGTAATTTTCTTTGGCCTTATTTGAACCAAATTAACATTAAAAATGTATGGTTTCAATTTGTCACACTTCAAGAGAAACAATCACTTTGCTGCTTGAGAATTTCCTGGACAGATTAATCTCATTGCGTGGAGATAAAAGCTACCCACTTCGATCTTGCGACTTGACGCCGTGTGATTTTTTCTTATAGGGATACATAAGTCACGAATTTACTAGAACAAAGTTCGAAATGTCTTGGAACTTAAAGAAGACATTCGTCGTGTTCTCAACGAACTTGATGGTGTAATGTGTGATCGAGTGATGGTAAATTTTATGGAAAGAATAATCGCCTGTAGGATTAGTAGGAAAGGTCATATGCTCAATATTGTTTTTCACTGTTAAACCTTAACTTTTCCTGAAGAGAATGATATATTTGTTATGTTTTTTTAAAAGAAATAATTTTGATTTATATCAGATTTAAATCCTGCGTTCTTTTTGAGACGCTCTATATTTCATAGTGTTTTAACCATTGTTTAATTTATTCAATACCTAATATAATATGGGGAAGAAAAGCCAAAAATTGTTTTTAAGGGTCGTTTGTTACTCTTCGATCGAAATTGAATCTTATGTTTTTAATCTTTGGGTGTTCATCACATATAAATTTTCAATATTTTATAGTGGGTATTATAATTTATTGTTTTCGTAAATATAAATAAGATAATAATTTGTTCATAATTTACCAATTTGTTATTAAACTCTTTCGTTAAATGTATTAGTTGAAAGTGCATAATTCATGTACAAATATTGATAGTCACTGTTTCGGTATAATATATGCTGAGCTCTTTTAATACTATTACTTTATTAAGTATTTTAATTACTAAGATATAACAAATTTGAACTTTTGTAGAAACCTTAACACCTGAAATAGAAAATTTTAATGTAAAAATAGAAAGTATTTGTACGCATTCATTTTATAAGAGTAGTTCCTAGTATGTGGGTTGTTTTTAAATTAAACAGTGAATATTATTAAGTTTTTACTTGTTACGATATTTTAAATCGTAACAATCGTATCATATTTTAAACGATTTATTAACTTGCCTAGTTAATTGTATACATAGTTACATAGTCTGTTTTAATCATTTTATTATATCGCTCTCCGTATGTTGTTGTATAAAATAATATTTTACGTACTATTTACGTATATATATCTGTATGTGTAATACATTTTTATTGTTGAAAAAATACCTCCATATACTGCAAAAAAGTATCATTGTTCTTAATTTTCTTAATGATTGGTACTATAATCTTTCAATTGACAATATTGCAGTTCAATGCTTATAAACATTTATATATAAATATATACTATGTATTAATGTTGAGGATTAATTATACAGTTAATGCCCATACATATTTATATAATATATGTTTATATATAATGATTTATTTAATCTAAGATATTAGCATTTGTCATCATCCTAATAATAAATTGGTTGTTTCTTGAAATTGTCTGTATTATGTATTCATCTTATTTAATATACGTACATAATTACACAATATGTAAATCTATGATACGTTTTTATTTTTGTTATATTTAATTTAATGTTCGGTTGAATGAGATTTATATTAAATCCCAAGCTCTAATTTTGTGCTTATATTGTAATTTATGATTAGTAAACTAGTTTGTTTTGTTAGTATTTCATGTTGTAAGCACATGAAATGAAAAAGTATATACAAAAACATACATACATACATACATGAATAAATAATGTGTTTAAAAAACATAAAGTTAATTAGAGTCTATACATTTTTTGTTTACAGACGTTTCGTCATGGTTTTCCGTATCAGCCGACTGCTCTTGCTTTTGACCCCATACAACGATTGTTGGCTATTGGCACCAAGAACGGATCTCTACGAATGTATCCTTTATATACCCATGAACAATTAACATTTAATTAATTATTAATATTTCAGTGATATTTTACACGTATAAAGCTACTGCACATCTTAGTGAAATGAGGTAAGTGCGTATGTGTTATAATAATAATATGTTTGTATATATTATTTACTCGTTCGGAACACGCGTAGTTCACAATACAGAATGAAATTTAATATCAATGAAAAATTAATAGTGCCGTGGTTGTTCTTTTATGTATTAGAGATAGGTTTAGTTTCCGAAACCATTAATCATTGAATCTTTAGGGTAGGAATCATATTAGGAAAATAATAATTAATTACTTTATATATAATTGTATATGTATATTTATAATACATATATATATACGTATGTATAGATACCGTGGCCCTTTTTCTTTCTACTAAATCCTGTTTACGGTTACGATACGGTATTATATAGAAAGGCCAGAGTATATTATGTACAGTTATAGTAATTATACTGACCTCGGGTAGATGATAAATATTAAATAGGGAGGAATCGTAGTCTTTACAAAACAACCGCGTGAGAGCGGAGAGACCGGTCGCCAGCCGAGTAAAAATAACGCTGCACGTTCCCATCAACTACGAAAGCAATATTTGGTCGAAAGTTTAGGTCATGTATCAAAAGTTATTATAATGGCGTGAGCTTTAATTTTTGGAAAAACAAGATGTGTTAAAATATTTTCTAGGACGCTGAAAATGGAAAACAGCTTCAGGTCATAAGAAGAAAGCGGTTAAGGGACGGAATAAAGAAAGCTTAATGCGATTTTTCATCCGAAAACACTCTCCTTTCTTACGTATATTTATGACGAATTTTTAAATTCCTGTAGCAATGAAGTGTTACTTTATGCGGAACATTGTTTGGTAGTTATATTCTCATTAGTGATTATCTTTTAGCTTAGCATATTACTTAGATTGATGGTGTCTCGTATGAATTACACCGTCCACTATAATTGATAACAATCAAAATATAAAAATATAAATTTTCATTAAAATTACTTTGTTTTTATTTATAAAATTTAGCATAAACAAATAACACTTATCTATTAAATCATTTTTAATAAAATGTTATACGCATTTAAACAATATAGTTCATATTCGTATTTTCATACATAAAATCATACTTCTATCATAATGGGATTAAAGAAAATATATTGTAATAATTCGTTTACTCCGCTTTTATGCTAATTATAAGAGTAGTTGATGATATACACTAATACTATTTCCAACTAATTTAATATTTTTATAATTTTCAACCATGAAAATATGAAAATTTATTAACTCATAATTCTAATTTGTCTATATATTAGAAATCGAATACAATGATAATAATATTTGATCATGCAGGATGAGTTTTAACTTTTACAAAATATAATTTTATTAAATCATAAGTTTTATATTAAACGATTACAGTCGATATTCTTTGTTTATTTTATTTTATATAAATTTATAATTATTTATCCTGTTCCAAGACATTATAATGTATTATATTCTTAAATTTACGTATAGATTAAACGTATTCGCGATTCAAAAACTTAAATATGAAAACAATTTATTTTATTCCTCAATTTAAATAACCACATAAAACTCTTCAGAGCTTATCGACCGGGTTGTTTATCATGACTTGCCAATGGAACGTAAAAATAAAAACCAACTGCTATTAATCTGAGTTACTTTACGTACCCATTTTTCACTTTTCGGAGGCAAATAAAACGCCAGAAAAACTTTGTGTTTAGCCATTTATTTTGTAAAAAAATCATATCGGACTAGACGGCGCCGATTTTATACTTCACTTACTTGTGTTTTCCATGTTGTTTTTATTTTTAACGAAACGCGATTTAAAAATATTCCTCGATATCCTTTGATTAATCGATGTTGTAGTTTTGATTGTCTTTGGTTACATTTCATTTGGTTTTTAATTAACCCACTTTTTAATGGTTTTCTGTGTTTTAAGTGATTTGGTTCTAAATGTGTAAAAATATTTTTATTTATGATATTCGATCAGAATTGTTCAGTTTGAATACAAAATAATTGTGATTAACTGATTCGTTCCATATGTTAAGATTAATTACTAATTTAAAATATACTAACTACTATACATATAATTTTATATTTATAGACGGAATCATTTAAATGTGTTGTTTGAACCAAAATAAATTTTTTCAGTTTTAATCTGAAATCATTTGGAAAGTTAAATTGTATGATAAAACTTGTTTTTCGATGGTTTGTTTTAGAAGGAACAAAACTTATTCGTTTTGGCAATAATTGTTAGTAAACAAAATTAAGTTACTACATTAAATGCCCTGAGTGCTAAATTATACACAAGAAATAAAAACAATAGAATTTAGTTTATATTTTAAATTTTAATAATATACGCAAAAAAATTGCAATGGTTTTGCGAATTATGTTATAATTTGTGGTTTGTTTATTTTAATTATTGTTATTATTGCATTAAATAATTATATACAACAATTTATGATATAAATATGTATAGTATATGTGTCAAAATAACTGCATACAGTTTTCGATAATTTTTAAGCAATTTACATTTGATTTTTGTTTGAGATTAAAATCTTAAATGCCAATAAAAAATATTTAGCTAAAATCGATATTTCATAATATTTTTCCTAATCTGTAAGTCTAATTGTATATTTAAGTAAGCTGATATCTAATAGTTTGTAATCGATAATTTTTTTTATGTTTTTATAAAATAATTTCATAAGTGTAAAAATTACGAACATTTTTTTTTCTTTTATTATTAGTTTTTTTCAGGACTATGATTTTTGTTTGGTGAAATCTTATTAAAAATACTATTTTATCATTATAAACGTAGTTTTTCTGAAGTAGCAATGCAATGATTTTGAAATAATAATTTAATAATAATAATTAATAATTTTGAAAACTTAACTTGCATTGTATAAATATGTTCCATATAAGTTTATTAAGATTACTTGGAAAATAGTTTATTTTACAATAAGTAACAATTATAGAACTTTATATTAAAACTTTATGTTTATAAAAATATAACTTAATTACTAGAAGTTATTTTTAAGGTCAACCAACAATTGCTATTTTAAAACTATTTTAATTTATTTTTGAATAATTCAATATTTTTGTTTCTTAATTTGTTTTATATTTTAAAATAAAATAAGTTAAAAAATAATTTTTGTTTTTAACTATCTTTTTCCATTGAAGTTATAAACGAGAAATTTTCTCTCTTCATATAACTTAACTTGACCTAATTTGACTATTGATGTGTATTAATATGTAATGTAATTTAGGTTGTTTGGTCAGTATTTGAGTTTAATCAGAATAATGAAAGGATATAATAAATTAACAAAATTGATTTGCATTTTGTTGTCGGATCGATAGTTGAATTATTAATAATATTCACCTATTATTCGGATGAAATATATTTTTATTGTTTCTAAAAAAAAATCAATTTTGAACATCACATACATCGCATATAAGTGGAAACTATTGATTTCGGCTTGGTTATCGTTTTACCCTTACCACTATCCCTTTTATCCGTATCAAATTTACCATTCTCATAATACTCGTGGGGCTATTCGACCAAAGGATTAGTTAGATGTTGAACTATTATGTGAAAAAATAAATTAAACATTACCAAAATCTTATGCTATTATGACGTAAATTATGCCAAAAAAAATATTTTTTTGTTCATTTTAACCCTTTGAATACATATTGCAAAATTACCATCAATAATTTAATTTCGAAGTTATTAATAATGAGTTGAGGAATTATAATAAATTGTATACAGTAAATTTTGATAGTTTTTTTTGTAAATTTTAAATTCACTGAAATTTATTAAAATATATATTTTTTGATATTTCTTTGAGGGTCGATCACCAATTTGCTATCTAATAATATTTAACTAATGAAAAATTAAACAAATGTCTTAAAAAAAAAAAAAAAATCGTTTCATACTATAATGTTATACTCAATAATAGTATCACAAAAAATAACCATTAGAGGAAATACGTGCAGTCATTTATTTATTTTTACAGAAAATATGTTAACCTGACAGTTGTTTGTCGTGTCAAATAAGAATAAATTTATTCTGTCTGAATATTTTTATCTTTACATGTAAAAGCCTTACATTTTATCTGATTTTGAACCGTATTTAAGTGTATTTTTCTTCGTAAATAACAACTTTAAGCTTTCCTCCTCGAATTGTTGGCAGATCGTATACCATTTATAAAAGTACAACATATATAAAATTTGAGTAAAGGTACCCATAAATGCGTGTGTATATATGTATATGTATATTCGATTTGAGCCCTTTTGTATTTATAATTATCACTATTTCGATTTTATTTTTATAAAAATTGGTATCGTTCATTCTTATACTATGTGCAAATAATTTTCAACGCGAGTTGTATATTGTATAAGATTTTATTATGTTATATAAATTATATGACTTAACAATACATAACAATTTCTATTAAACACATTTTTGAGTATCAATTATTTCACAATATTACATCTATTTTAAATACAAACTATGTATAATTTATTAATAAGTTTATAGTAAAAAATTTTAGATGATTGTATTTGAAGTTGAGAAAGTTTTGTTTTTTGGAACAAATAATATTTTCAAACGTCTGATTTGTTTTTATTTTCAGTTTCCTTAGAAGTAATTTACTAGAAATACGCCAACTTGATGTCGTTAGTATCTATCTAAAAATATCCCTGCCGATCATAGTAATTTTTATCCGAATAGTAGTTATTTTTGATGTTTTTTTAACCAATATTATTTTTCCGATTTTATGTTACGATGGATATTTTTATTTTGTAGAACAAAATTTATCGCATGGGTAAAAAGTAAAATTATTGACCTTAACTAATCGAATAATATTTATACTTAGTAATAATTCAACATTGTAGAAGGGTTTTTTTCCATTTATTTTAGTTTAGTATTTGATTATTTGTAGTACTGTGGTCAATGATATGTTTTTGGGTA